ACACACACACACACACACACACACACACACACACAAGTCTTGCAGTTTCCTTTGTTACTGCAAGACTGTATTATATGTTGACACAATGAGTTTTATTGAATATACGTAAGTATAAACTTTGGTTTTTAATTTGTGGCCTGTGTTGCTTTCTTGGCATTTCAAAAATATATGCTGTAAACAGATTGTTTGAACTGTTTTGATGCCAGAACTTAAAAAATGTATTTTTATTTAAAGCAAATATATTAAGATTTCTTTTACTACCTTARACATTACAAGAGTCGAAACCTGAGGCCAGTTATAGACCAACACAATGGAAATGAAAAAGCATTTCTTGAAGAAGTGTGTATTGCCTGTTACTATACATATCAAACCTTTAAACAAAAAAGCATGTAAAGAATGGCTTTCAGCTACTACCACACCAAATTTAGCTCACAATCTGTAAATTTAACTGAGTTTTAACCATTTTTGTTTGCTAGGTTTGACTACCTGTGGGAGTCAAACTGACCTAAAAAAGGACTTTTTCCTGCACAAACTGAAATCTTCTTACAGCTTAAAACAATGAAATTTCCAGATCTTGTAAAGTTCAAATGCTACAAATTTTGTACTGAACCAAATATGAAAATTTACCTAGAAATATTCAGCGTAGGTTTCGTTTTCGGGAAGGAAGTTACAATTTTAGGGGTACTTGTCAACTGAAAGTTGTTGCTGTGAGCACTGTTTTTGTGTTTTTGTGTGTGAAGTGAAAATGCAGAATATTTGTCCGTAGGGTTGGGCAATTAATCGGTAGAAAAACATCAATTGATTATTTTTTGGTACTTAATACGATTAATGCCACCAGGCAGAGTCCGCTCGGTGCTCCTCTCCGCTTGAATTATGATGAACATTTTAAAAAAAGTTCTGTAATTTATTTATCTATAAACACAATTTAAAAATTGATGCATAGCCTGAAGTCTTTAATTTTGACACAATTTGGAACAGATTTTTACAAACAGTAGGTCTTTCCCAGTAAATTGGTCAATTAACTAGTACATAAGGGTGTCCAGGGACTCCAGGGTATTATTCATCAAATTAATCGTTATCGGCTAAATACCACGATTAATCGTGATTCATTTTGTTGCCAATATTGCCCAACCCTAGTTGACTGTTGAGTTGAATGTATCTCCAAACATAAATTGTTAAAAATAATGTATAGTTTTTTTTTCATGAAGTATAAAGATTTGTAAAAATATGACATGGGAAAAAATGYAAGCTGGCTTTACCAAAACTCTTGGAAAAGGGGATCAACTTTAAGTCTGAGCACCTTTCTGTTACCAACAAAGRTTTGTTTCGCTCACCAGTTGGTTTCCTGCTGTGTTTCGGTACCAGCGTGAGGCCAGCTGCCGAAGGAGATCGCTGCATGAAAACTCTGTGGTTTGGGCTGCCAGACACACGGGCGCGTGTCTGTGAACTCAGTGTGGCCCTACAATCAGGGACTAATAGTGGTGAGGCTGCACACAAAGGGGAAAGACAACGCCTGCGTCCCCAGGGTTTGTTGGTCCCACCTTCCTGTCGAGCAAAGCGAGTTGAAGCGGAGCGTTGAGTTAACCATTAGCTTACTTTTACTTCTCTATTGCCCCTTTTCCACTAGTAAATGGTAAATGGTAAATGGTACTGAACTTAAGAGCGCTTTTCAAGTCCCTCCGGACCCCAAAGCACTTTACACTAACAGACATTCACCCATTCACACACTGATGATGGCAAACTACACTGTAGCCACAGCTGCCCTGGGGCACACTGACAGAGGTGGGGCTGCCATGCATCGGCACCACCGGACCCTCTGACCACCATCAGTAGGCAAGGTGGGTGAAGTGTCTTGCCCAAGGACACAACGACTGAGATGGCTGGACAGGGGATCAAACCAGTGACCTTCTGGTTCCAGGATGACTCACCTAACCACTCCGCCACAGCCGCCCCACACTAGTGCCACTTAGTGTAGTGTCGGTACGGTTCGGTACGGTTCCAAGCCATTTCCATCGGCCAGATCCATGGAACCAACACTTTTTTTAATACCTACTTCATTGTGGTTCCAACCAGCCCCAGCTGACACCAAAATGCGACGTCAGAACACTGTTCGTCACTGATTGGCTAAATGTTTGCAAATGTTTAAAATTTCAAAAGTTTTTCATCAAATGTGTTTCCATCTCTCATTTTGCACATTAATTTTTATTCAAAAAAACGTAAAAACCAACACCAACCGCCCAAAACACACCCATTGGAACCAGACTGGAACATCAGTGGAAAACCAACCGGTCCGACCCGTACCTANGTGAGGAGGAGAGGCAGAGAGTTGAGGATGAGAGCTGAAGAATATGCTGCCATAGGGGTTTCTGGTGTGGTTGTGGCGTATGTGTGTGCCTCAGTCTGTATGGAAAAAAAAAGAAAATGTTCTGATTCTGTGGAGTCTTTTGTGTGCACTRTTTCCTGTGTGTATATACAGTAGATGAGTGTGTATGCTTGTGTGTCTCCTTGTGGTCCCGCGGCCTTTCTTACAGTCTAGTAGGCTGAGTGTTCAAAACAGGCAGAGGTTTCTGTTCTTCTTCTTGCTCGTGCATCTGTGTGCGTACAAGTCCAGGCATTTGAATGCATGTTGGGCATTTGGTGAGGAGTGACCCAAATCTGTCGGCCAACATTACCTAACAAGAAGATGGAGAGAAAAGCAAGACACACAGATATACACACACAAGCACACATGTGCACAGTGATGTATGCTTTAGGCTGATTTATGTCATTGTTAGGAAACTGATAGATATAACTCTTTTTTTATGATTTCCAAGAGCTTAATCATCAGAGTTAGCATATAATTTGAATCTTTACTTTAGCCTTAAAATAAACTAAACCTAACTATAAATATTTAATTATATCTTGACCATTAAAAAGCTTTATGAATAAAATTGAGGAGGTAGAGAGTGAACAAAAAGGACACATCCCAGTTCATTTCTAAAAAGTAGTTTTGTTTACAAATGATGGGAGGACAGAGTGATGTACCAGCAGACTAGGGTGTCAGCTATGAGGACACTGTTGCTCCAGTCTGTTGTAGTGAAGAAACAGTTGACCTAAAGGGAAATCTCT